GAGGCTGTAACAAAATTCAAAATTCCATATTTTTTCATAATGTTATTCATATTTATTCATAAAGTGCTCATTCTTATTCACCTCTACTACTTTATTTTATAATTAAATTATCTCTCAAAAACATTCTTAAGTGTATTATAAAATCTGGCAGATCAGCTCATAGTTTTCACTTCCCCAAAGATGATTAATCTTGAAGATCATTCTTGAAGCTTGTCTCTAGCTTTATTGAAAACATCTCTCTCTTAATAAAGCGATGGGATAAAAAAGAAAATGATTATGAAAGGATAAAAAGAGAGAGAGATGATTGGAGATAAAAATAGGTTTGTCATAAACGTGTAAACTAAAAGGATGCACCAAGGGAAATTAAAATCAGTTGAGCAGTTCTTTGTGATGAGATCGGGTTTTTAACAAAGGTGACAAGAAAGTGACAGTTTTGGAGAGCGGAACTGCCAGAACATTCCATGCTGGAAGGAGTAAAACTGTACCACACAGACAGGAATTGAGGAAGAAAGCTAAGGAAGCTGGTTAAGAAAATGCTGAGTCCAGTTTTCCCCCAGTTAAACTCGGCCCATTACTGGACTCAAATTGATGATATAGCAGATCTGGACCATGCAATTATTTAAAGTACCTCCCGGGCAGAGAGCTAATGTTATTATTAGACTTTTAACAGTCTGTGTATTAATCACAGTTCCCTTCATTGGGCCTATCAGTGTATCTTAAGTGTTCTCTATAATAGAAGTGCTTTGTTTATGATTTAATAATAATTCCATATATTTTCCCCTCTTAGCTTGCAAGCCTTTTTAAACATTTTAACTGAGTATCCATCCTTTAAACATCCAAATCTATATCTATCTATACAAGATATATATCTATACAAGAAATCGCTAAAAATACAGTATTCACTTTGTGACTTCAGGTCAGACAGTGTGTCAGGGCAGTCCTGAGGAGCCGTGCTATAAGATTGCTTACTTCAGGGACGTGTCGAGTCGTGTTGCATTCTGGGAGGCTCAGGATGCGTGTGAAATGGATGGCGGTTCGTTGCTGAGCATTGAGAACACAGCAGAGCAGAAGCACATCGAACATCTTCTGCGGGAACTCAGTATCTTCACTTCCACCGGTGCTTCCAGCGGGTCGGGTATCACAGACGGAGACTTCTGGATCGGGATGACACGTGTGGAGGACGAGACAGCACAGGAACCTGGCAGCTTTGCCTCGTGTCCCAACCTGTACAGGTGGACAGATGGAAGTGTCTCACAGTTTAGGTGAGATGGGATTGATCTGGGGCCTGTTCAAAGCAGAGATTTAAATCAGGTTGTGAATTAAAAACAGCCATAAAAATGAGCACTTCTGTTCTACAGAAACTGGTATGCTGATGAACC